GGGAGGGTGGCTGGGGGTGTAGAGGGGAAGTAATTTGGGCTTTAGTGCTGGATAACTCCCCCAAAGCTCTTGGTTCTCTATCATACTTACATGGCTTCCACATCGCCTGAACTGTTTCCTTTTTATTCCCCCTTCCCCGTCAGGTTACCATCCTTAAAACAGATGTACATATTTTTCTATCCTGTGGGGGGAAATTCTCTGGGAAAGTTCTGCATATTTCAGGAAATTTTCAATGTGGTTTAGATTCAGTTGGGGAAAAGTAGACCTGTGCTTGGTGCCTATTGGCTAGCACTCGTGACCTTACGAACACACCTCTCCAACAACTACCGCTACCTTCCCCCAGCTGCCATGGAGTTTTACAGCCGGTTTAAAATGCTCTTAATACTCTTCGATGCAAGTGGAAGGATAACTACACATAGATGCATAGAAGCATCTTTCTCTTTCTTTCTTTTAAATATGGTCAGTCTTGGAGGGTTAAGACTTTCTGTACCAAAAGCCAAAGCAGACAGTTTGCCCAGCAGACGCAGAAAGCAACTGCTGCTTAAATATAAATTTGTATCCACGCTATGTACGCTCAATCAGCAGTTGCTGTGCCCTGGAAGCACAACAACTACGTTCTAGTCAGACTATCGTATTGTTCTTCAGAAGGGAGCTCAGGGAAAAAGCCTAGTCCTGCTGTTTTGCAGCAAAATCCGGTTGTGCACAGCACTGATTGCCTGGCGGCTGTGACGTCACAGTCCCATCCATCCTTCCATCCTTTACAACATTTTAGGACTTGTTTGTGCATTTAGTTATTTTTTTAGATGCACCAAGGTGAACATGTCTGATGCTTAAAAAAGCAAAACAGAACAGCTTGCCGGACGGTGGCAAGACATAATAATGGAATCAGTGTTTAAACCACTATCTGCCATTTGAAAGTGAAGACAGCTGGGAGCTATTCTAACCCTGCAGCAGCAGAAGAAAAAACTGCAGCCACATCACAATTAGAAATTCACATGCTGCTTTCTTTCCTTGCAGCCTAAAATTCTCCGTGGAACCTCCAAGAAGAATCAGCCCTTTTACCTGAGAGGTGAATTGCTCAGAACACTTGTCACTCACAGAACTCCAGGCATATTTGCCTGGGGCCTGGGTGAAGTGGGCAGAGCCTTGGCTACCAGAGGCTTTGCCACAGATGATGGAGAAACTTGAAATTTACCAGTGTCCCGGGCAGTCTACCTGTCAACGTTTACAGTGAAACAGAAGATAGCCCAGAACCAACACCCACTTTCACTTGAAAACATTGCTATAGACTATCTACACACCCGTAACCTCTCAGACATGCTAAGGTTCTTGAATCGACAATTCTTGTTTCTGTTGAACCATTCAGGACTTCTTCCACTCAGCTTGAAGAACTTAACTAGGAGACTGTGGAGAGAGAGAGAGAGAGAGAGAGAGATGCTTCAGATTTCAAGTTGGTCATGAACTTGGCCTGTTTCAGTCTTTCATTTATATTTCTGCAAATGGGGAAAAGAATGACCTACCTCTCAGGGTTGCTGTGAGAATGAATGATACATGGACAGTAAAAAGAAACCTCTGCAAGATGAAAGTGCAATAGACTAGATTATAATTATATTTTACATGCAGGCCAGAACATCAATCAGCTGCTGACTCCTTTGGCTAGATTTTTTTTTAATGACATGCTCTTTATCCTTGTGTGTAATTAACAAGGGTGGGTAGGACAATTGGATTGTTGTTTTCATTATTAAAAAATACAATACTTGCATTATGCTTGTGGAAGACAAGCTCCCATTCGGAGAGAATGATATCGCAATGTGTCCTTCAGATTACAGAAAAAGAATGTTTTCCTGTATGTTTTGATTTTTGAATGGTCTTCCTCCATGAACGAAAACTGTTAAGAGAGCCAGATTCACCCCCCATCAAAAATGCAGTTTTCATTGTCCAAGAATTACTACTTTTTCTAGTTCTGCTAGAGAAGTATTGTGCAGCGGTGTTTGATCGTTCTCAGGACTGCAGCAAATAACAGAAGGAAACTGCTGTGCTCTTTCATAGATTTTGATATTTTGTAATAGATTTAAATGCATTTGATAAAAAAAAAAAGTGTCAATAAAACATGTTCTAGAAGCCTATGTTAGAACCTGAGTTCTTGACAATCATCATGGTAAACTTCACCGAAGTCTAAAAAGAAAAGGCTTTCGCCTTCCCGAACATGGGGCAAAATCAGTGAAAAGAGAGAAATAAAGTCTGCTTCTACTGTCAGAATTCTCAGTTTGTGAACCACACCCTCCTCTGCTGTTAGAGATTTCTGGTGTCTCTCTGCACCCTGTCATATGCTCTATTAATCTGTCGTTTTTCTTTTGTTAAAGAAAAATATGTAGGCAGCCTTAGGCGCCATATGCACTTCATGTTGGGTGCATGTTTACACGGTGTGCCCTAGAAACAAGATTCACTCACCCACTCAAGAAGATTTCACTTCCAGAAATGCTGGAGAGGGAATTAAATCCCGAGGTATTACAATATTAGCACATTGGAGACTGTGTACATAGCCAGGCATTTTAAGCACATGACTCCCCTCCCTCTCCCCCAAACCATGACATGCTGGTAATCATATCACGCTGGGGAAATTATATGGAAATATATTTTGGAAATGACTTTTGTAGGTTCCATGAACCTGAAAGGGAACTTTACCCTATGGCTGTCCCCGCCATTAGGCAGAGTGAAGCAGCAGCCCCAAAGCTGTGTCCCTCAAGGCTCCTTGCCGACTTACATTCTCCTGCGCTCCTACCAGGGTAATGATGACTGGTTGTTGCTGTGCTGTCTTGCCTTTTGCATCGGCTCTCAGTACGTTTCCAAGCACAATTCAATGTGTTGGTGCTGACCTTTAAAGCCCTAAACAGCCTTGGCCCAGTATACCTGAAGGAGTGTCTCCACCCACATCGTTCAGCCCGGACACTGAGGTCCAGCTCCCAGGGCCTTCCGGCGGTTCTCTCCCTGTGAGAAGTGAGGGTACAGGGAACCAGGCAGAGGGCCTTCTCGGTAGTGGCGCCCACCCTGTGGAACACCCTCCCATCAGATGTCAAGGAACTAAACAACTCTCTGACTTTTGGAAGACATCTGAAGGCAGCCCTGTTTAGGCAAATTTTTAATGTTCGATGTTTTATTGTGTTTTTAATATTCTGTTGGGAGCGGCCCAGAGTGGCTGGGGAAACCCAGCCAGATGGACAGGGTATAATAAATAATAATTATTATTATTATTATTATTATTATTATTATTATTATTATTATTTTCCCAACACATCACCGACAGCAATGCCATCAGGGTCAGGCCAGTCAGCCTAGCCCACGGACTCCAGCAGCCATCTTGCAAAAAAACACACATGTTGCTCTGCTCATGGGATGCTTGCCAGCCGCTGCCGTATTATTAAAGCATTTCCTTGAGCCAAGTAGGTGTCAGGCAGAACAGCAGGTGAGCGTGACCATCAAGGAGTTGGGAGGATGGAGCTGTGTGGGTTATGTAGCTTGATGGAGTCAGTGTGAATGTCAAATGCAGATAGCCCAGCTGGCTTCCGCATGTGACATGGAGGGAGGGCACCTTTTTGCCTTGGGTAGCAAAAAAAAAAGGGGGGGGGAGGAAGGCCTGGTCCTGTTTTGCCCTGTGCTTTTGCAGCATCTTTGTTGGCTCCATACAGAATAACTCCTTTTCTTGTTTCCCAGGGGGTGCTTTCTTGGTCTCATAATATTGTTGTTGTTTAGTCGTTTAGTCGTGTCCGACTCTTCGTGACCCCATGGATCAGAGCACGCCAGGCACTTCTGTCTTCCACTGCCTCCCGCAGTTTGGTCAAACTCATGCTGGTAGCTTCGAGAACACTGTCCAACCATCTCGTCCTCTGTTGTCCCCTTCTCCTTGTACCCTCAATCTTTCCCAACATCAGGGTCTTTTCCAGGGAGTCTTCTCTTCTCATGAGGTGGCCAAAGTATTGGAGCCTCAGCTTCAGGATGTGTCCTTCCAGTGAGCACTCAGGGCTGATTTCCTTAAGAATTGGATGCATTTGCTCTTCTTGCAGTCCATGGGACTCTCAAGAGTCTCCTCCAGCACCATAATTCAAAAGTATCCATTCTTCGGCGATCAGCCTTCTTTATGGTCCAGCTCTCACTTCCATACATCACTACTGGGAAAACCACAGCTTTAACTATACGGACCTTTTTTGGTAAGGTGATGTCTCTGCTTTAGGGATCCTATTAAGAGGCTGCTTTTGCATTCTGACACTTCCATTGGTCTTTCTGAGGGGTGCAGAGGAAGCAAGGCACAGCAAACTGGACTAAATAAGCACAATAACAGTAACAACCAACGGATGCTATTTTGCCAGTCAGCCCCTTCCACCGGAGCAGATTCCACCTGGGGAAGAAGAGAGGAGAGAGGCTGCCCTAGACTCGACCTCGGAACGCGTTCGCAACGGTCAGCGCTCAGGGACGGACCGCTTTCTGCAGAGCGCTCGCTTGGAAGCACCGTCTCTCGTTCCAAACCATAGAGATAGGAAAATTATAGAGTAATGCGCACCGCCAGCGAGCTGTCGGGTTGGTTTGGAATATTTCCGCGTTGCCTCGCTAAGGGAACCTTCGCTGCTGGCTAACTTAAGCTGTGCTTCTTGACGAAAAAAAGAAACCTGCCAACCACAACGGTGCCAAGGAAGGATAGCAGCCTCACGGAGCCTTGCACCGCCGTTCTAGCAGTGAATATCATTCTCATTTCCAATTCCACCCTGAGAGATGACAAACGATAGAGCGGCCGCCGCTTTCTGCGCCCAAGAGAGAAACCCGGCTTTTTAAAAAACCAAAAACTCAAAACGAAGCCCGAAAGTTCACGCTTCATGTGACTCTATATTTTCCTGTCTTTATTCCCCGTAGCGCGTGCTTTGCGGATCAGGGCAACTTCCTGCTTCGACTTCAGCTGCCCGGGCTTGGATACACTTCCGGTTGGGCCACCAGAAAAGGCGTCATAGCCCTCCTTCAGACTTCCTGCCTAGGGACGAGCTTGCTGAATGTGGGTCCTCGTTTCTTCTGCTGCGCGTAGCAACAGCAGTGGGGGGGGTCTTGCTCTTTCAATGCAGGAGGGCCAGCTCCTCTGTCTGGACAGGAGGACCCCCTGGGAAATACAAAGCTAAATTCTCCTTTCTTTCTTTTTTGTACCAGCTTATATTTGTGAAAGAGACAGGCATTTTGAGGTACCCGCTGTTTCAGATGCATTACAGAGGGGTGCAGTTTTGCTCCTTGTGAGAAATGGTCTCTTTCCTCAACAAACATCGCATACAGACACCCAGCAGAGATGATGCGGTTTATGTTCCTCTCCTCTAAACTCTGCCACTCCCCAAAGTTAAATATAGGTTCTCTCATGACTATGGAATTCAAATATTCGATTTCCTCTCCTTATTGGCCCTTTTAGAGCAATTCTCACATGCCAGCCCTTGTTTTCATTTCACCAATCTCTCTCACCTTCTCAAAACAATATATGATTTCTAACATAGCCCTCCCATTCGGAGTTCAGGAGCCAAGTGGAACACATTTCTTTTCGGGTGGTATCTATTATCTCTTGGAAAATAGGAAACTTTTACCCCCCCCCCCCAATTATGGATAAACCATTGAGAATTGGGAAGATTTGTGAGAGTCTGCTAAGCTTTTTTTAAAACAAACAAACAAACAAGCAAACCCCCCAAACCATTCTTTTTCATCCGCAGGCTGCCCAGTGCCATGCGGTGCCTCCTCGTCAGCCAAGACAAGCGACATGATCCAGTTCTTCTGCCTGATGGTGTGACTGTGGTTCTGGGCAGGGGACCTGAGACACTCGTCACCGATAAAAAATGCTCCCGGACACAAGGTGAGTAATTTTTCTCTTGTTAGGAATTCTTCTTTTCCTGCTAGTACAATCCCCTCCAATCATTGTCTAATGTTGAACTTTCTGGGATTCTTTGTACAGCATTTGACAGATTGCCTCTTCCTGTTCATCCCCTTGATTGGGTCACTCTCAGGGGGCACAACCTTCCAAGTTCCGCATGTCAGCAGTGGGCAGGGCCAGATGCGAAAGCAGATGCAGCAACAAATATGAATTTTAACCATTTATAATAGGCTGGTTTGCATGCAGGCTCACACTCCTCAATGCAGGCAAGCAAGAGAGTCGAAGGACACATTCCAGCCAGGCAAACAGCAGTAGGCCTGGTGAGATGTGTGGCCTGAAGAGGAGAGAGAAAAAATATTTAGGCTTCTGGTATATGACTAACTCAAGTGACCCTATAGCCTACACCAGACATGTTCAACCAGTCAACCGTGATCGACAGGTAGATCCCCTGGTGATCCTGGTCGATCGCAGGATCCTTATCAATCGCAAGCTTAGAAAAACTTCAGAATGCATGTTTCCGCCCACCTCACTCTGTTCCTCTGTCGCACCAAGTGGGCAGAGTTCGGTGTTTTATCATTGCAGTGTGGAATACGGATTTAGTGCTGTGTGCGTTTGTTATTGGTGGAGTGTGAGGTGAGCGAGTATTTCATTCTCCCTTAAAAAAAGCTCAACAACTCTGGTCACCCCCCAAAAAAGCTCAAGAGGTCTGGTCTCCCCAAAGAAAGCTCAACAATTCTGGTCAATCCTCAATGACAATTGGTAGATCACTGCCAGTTTTTTTACATTGGGAGTAGATCACAGTCTCTTGGGACTTGGACGGGCCTGGCCTACACTCCTTTATTAGTAATCCTCTACTTTCCTGGAACTCCTCCAAGTGAAGTTATGTGTTTTTTTCTTTTTGTTCTGCCTGACTGCACCCCATGAGTTTAATGTCTGCTGCTCTGCGGGAGCCACAGAACGAAAACAGAACTAAGTGCAGATACGGATGACAAATCTGAGCACTTCCTGGGGGGAGAAGTAGTTGCATCAGGAACTACAGAGAGTAAATATAAATGTCCACCATGCTGGACAGGTCAAGAAGACCTGGGCTCAAATCCCTGCTGGGCCAGTCATTAACTTTCCTGCCTAGAACTTGCCTTACTTGGTTGTGAAATTAAAATGGAGGTGGTGGAGATGTGAAATCCACATATTCTACCTTGAGCACCCTTGAGGGAAAAGCTGGATGCAAGGGAGATCAATACCTACCCCTTCCTTTGCAGCTTCTAGAAATGCTACTTTCCCTGATGCCTGTGCATGCCTTTCCAGCCACTGGGGCCGGCCCTGTCATTGGGCAAAGCGAGCCAGAAGCTGGAGCAGCAATAGCACTTTTCCTACCACCACCACCCTGTCAACACACACACACACATGGACACTTCACCACCTTATTGCTTCTGAGCTGGTGATCCCAATTCTTAGCTGCTCCACCCTGACAACACACACTGTAGGAAATGGAATGATTGCCACGATGGGATGGAAAGCAGGCAGTACCTTTGCCAGTGGAACTCTGCATGCAATGCAGTAGAATCACTTTGTTTTTTGTGCCTTCCCTTCTCCTGCTTTGCCGGTGGGAGGCTTTCATCTTTCTTTCTTTCTTTCTTTCCTTCTTTCCTTCCTTTTCCTTTCCACTGCTTTCTATCCATTTTCCATTTTATAGATAATATGTTTTATTAAATTTCCAAAAATTTCACATAAAATTCCAGTACGTAATATTTTTTTCTTTTGTCGACTTCCCATCCCATTATCCGTGATGTTTTTTTAAATAATTTCCGTGGTACTTATTTCTGTTGAATAATTAGAGATTATTGTATTATGGTTATGATACAAAAGAGTGAATATAGAATTCAGCAGAGAGATAGAATACAATAATCTTGAATTATTTCTGCTTTCTACCTATTTTAATTTCCCTCTGGTTTCTTGATACAGTGGTACCTTGGTTCTCGAATGGCTTGGATCTCGAACGCTGCAAACCCGGAAATAAGTGTTCCGGTTTGTGAATGTTTTTTGGAATCCGAACGTCCGACACAGCTTTCACTTGAGTGCAGGAAGCTCCTGCAGCCAATGGGAAGCCGCGCCTTAGTTTTCGTACCATTTTGGGAGTCAAACTGACTCCTGGAAGGGATTAAGTTTGACAACCAAGGTACCACTGTACTGCTTTTTTTATTATTACTTCCTCCATTTTCTCTTTCCTCCTTTCGCCTTTCTTCCTCTCCCTCCCCACCCACCCACCCTTAAAAAGAAAAAGCCCAGCCCCACCAATTCCAGTTCTGATTTAGTCTTGTGTTTTGATGAATACATGGCAAAATATTGCTCAAAAAAAGATATGCTAATATGCCTAGATTAAAATGTGAAGTACTGGATGGAAGAAAAATTAGTAAGGAAAGATAATAAGAATATATAGATGATTTGAGAAGGTTGTAGAATGCAACGATTATTGTAAAAAGGGGCGAGCCAGGGCTGGCGCTGAGGGTGATGAATATTAATGAGACTAGGGAATCCCTGAGACCCGTGGGGCTGGCGCCAGCCCCGCGAGATTGTGGACGGGGGCGTGAGCCCGCAACCCCCCCTCTTTAATTTGGGAGTGGCTTTGTAGAATGCAAAGGGACGCGGGTGGCGCTGTGGGTAAAAGCCTCAGCGCCTAGGGCTTGCCGATCGAAAGGTCGGCGGTTCGAATCCCCGCGGCGGGGTGCGCTCCTGTTGTTCGGTCCCAGCGCCTGCCAACCTAGCAGTTTGAAAGCACCCCCGGGTGCAAGTAGATAAATAGGGACCGCTTACTAGCGGGAAGGTAAACGGCGTTTCCGTGTGCGGCTCTGGCTCGCCAGAGCAGCGATGTCACGCTGGCCACGTGACCCGGAAGTGTCTCCAGACAGCGCTGGCCCCCGGCCTCTTGAGTGAGATGGGCGCACAACCCTAGAGTCTGTCAAGACTGGCCCGTACGGGCAGGGGTACCTTTACCTTTACCTTGTAGAATGCAACGATTATTGTAAATTGTATAATGTGGAGGAAATTGAGTGGGGGCGGAGGGAAGTGGGAGGAAGGAGAAAAGAATAATATGATGGATTGAGGAAATAGAAATGTAAATGTATGGGGGGATGGGGAGGAAATGGTGTTGGCTTTGGTACATCTGTATTGTAAAGTAATATGTGAAAACCAATAATAATAATAAAAATTTCTTTTTCAAAAACATAATAATGATTTAGTCTTGTGAATGAATGATTCCATGTGTGAAATCTGGGTCTTCTGGATATGCCTTGCGGGTGTAACCAGCCCTGTTTTCTCTTCCTGTTTCCTCGCAGTGGAGTTGCTGGCCAATTATGCCTATAGATCCGTCCGAGTCACACAGGTAAGACGGGGAGAGTTCAGATTGTCCCAGTTCCGAGCCTTGTGTGCTCGTACGGGAGCCTTGTTTCCCTAGGAGGGTGAAGCAGCTGCTTCTGGGTGTCTGGTCGCACTTGGTCCCCCTAATGTATTGGTGTGTTGACAGCGAGGGGTGAACCCCACGTCGGTGGAGGAGATACACCTGCGTTGTGGGGACAGCACCACGCTCCAGGAGGGAGAGACTCTGTGCTTGGTGAATGGGCTGTATCCCTACCGCATCCGTTTCGAGGAAGATTCCCGCTCCCCGAAGAAAACCCTGCTGGAGTTCTTCAGTCCCCGGCGCCCCCTGGAAAAAGAGGAGGATGGCAAGGCCCAGCCAGCCAAGCGGCTCAAGACCTCCTCGCCTTCCGAGGACGAGGAAGACGATGACGACGTCGACCCCTCGGTGGCCGAGAAATTGAGGCAGCTGCAGGAGACGGCAGCGCAAGCCCAGCGGGCGCAGAGCCAGACTCCCCGGCAGCTGCAGCTCTCGCATCTGGCTCCCCAGCCGCACGACTCCTGGGAGGACCATGGCAAGCTCCTGGTCTTCACAAAGAAAGGGGTGGTGCCCAGCGCCAAAGTAAGGCCTATAGCTTTCAGCGGGAGCTGGCATTGCTTCTTGTGGGCTGTGTTAGAGTTGCTTAGGGCCATGTGCTAGCTGAGGCTGATGGGAATTGTAGTCCAAAACACCAGGAGAACACAGGCTGCTTTGGGGAAATGTTCTGGTTCCATCTTGTGCCCCACCCTGTCCCCTTCTTTAATGTAAGAAGGGCAAATTTTGGCATCAGTTGCCTGGAACCGTAGGCCGAAAGTCAGCTTAAAATAATTAAAACGTCAGAAAATGGTAAAACGGGATAAATAACCAGCGCTGAGTAAAACTCAACTCTCTGTCAAATTAACTCTCTAATTGTTAATGTGGAGGTCTGTTTATTGTATTTTGTAGCGTATTCTTTTTGCCACAAGATTCTTTGGGTACTTTTTTTTAAAAAGAAAGATGTGATACAAATGTCTTAAGTAAAACGTCTACAGGACATCATCTGGACAGGTTGGGCAATATACTCTTCAACCAGGCCTTTGGCTCATTAATATTCTGAGCCTTTAAAACGTGTTGTCCTGTGCAGGCTCACCTGAGAGATCTTGGTAGGGCTACTCAAAACCAGGAAGTGGGGAAGCAATGTTGCTTTGGGGGATAGTTGGAAGTTGAGGCTTGACGCCAGCCTAGGTGATCCTTGGCCCTCTTTCTGCCTCTCTGCCCAGGTTGCAGGTTTTGATCTGGATGGGACCATAATCACCACGCAGTCTGGGAAGGTGTTTCCTACGAGCCCCGATGACTGGAGGTGAGTGTGGGGCGAAATACCAGGGAGGCGGGAGAGGGGAGGGAATTATGGGCGGCCAGCGTGGTCCATGGCAAAACCTGTGTTGATCTAGGTGCAGAGGGACCCGAGTTCAAATCTCCCCACAACCATGAAGCTCATTCTGTCAGCCCAGTGCACCTTCCAACAATGTGTGGGTCAGGCATTGGGTGGGGGGGAAGTCACCACATATGCCACCATGGGCTGCTTGGAGGAAAGACAGGAGGGGGAGTAATAAAAGTGAGACTGTGACCTAGTGGTTAGAGCACCGGGCTCGGACAAGGGAGACCTGTGTTCGTTTCTTTATTTTATTCCATTTCACAACACGTATATACCACTTTATTGTAATAAAACCTCAAAGTGATTTATGAAAAGAAGCACACACACACACACACACACTTTCTTTGGCCTACTTTACAGGGTTGCTGTAAGAATAAAAGGTGGGGAGGAAAGCCGAGGACACCACCTTAATTTCTTTGGAGAAAGGGCAAGCTAAGGAATGTAATAAATAGAAAGGAGAATATTCCTACTCATATGGGGCAAAGTGAGAAGAGCTCCCTGGTTGTGGTTGTGATTCCTGCATTGCAGGGGGTTGGACTAGATGATCCTTGGGGTTCCCTTCCAACTCTACAATTCCTCTGATCCTATAAGAGTGACATCAGGCTTTTGTAGGACGAAGGCACTGAAACGGAGGCTTGTGCTGGTGTTTCTGCGTTGTGCTTTGCACTCTAATGTCATCCATAGCAACGTGCCATCAGCATTGGGATCAAACTTGGGCCGCTGGCTGTTTTTTTGGACTACAACTCCCATCATCCCTAGCTAGCAGGACAAGTGGTAAGGGATGATGGGAACTGTAGTCCAAAAATAGCTGGAGACCCAAGTTTGGGAAGCTCTGCTCTAGACAGAGTTGGATACAACTCCCATCATCCCTAAATGGCCAGGCTGGCTGAGGCTGATGGGAGTTGGTATCCATCAATATAGAACAACAAACCCCTGTGTTGCAAGCTTAACACAACAAACAATACAAGCAACACGAAGACCAGTATACTAGATAGCACTGCAGTTCCTACTGCGTGATATACATGATTTAGTACAACAAAAACAAAACGTGTACACTTGTAAATTCTCTAATATATTTGAAATCAAATGAACACACGTCTGTCAATCTTGGAAAGTCCGTGAAAGTATAATAAGTCTATAGTTGAAACAAAGGAATAGATGCTATCCTGTGGGCTAAACGGTAATACATTTTTAGGCATTCATGGTGCCAAAGTGTTGTTTAGTCGTTTAGTCGTGTCCGACTCTTCGTGACCCCATGGACCAGAGCACGCCAGGCACTTCTGTCTTCCACTGCCTCCCGCAGTTTGGTCAGGCTCATGCTGGTACCTTCGAGAACACTATCCAACCATCTCGTCCTCTGCAGTCCCCTTCTCCTTGTGCCCTCCATCTTTCCCAACATCAGGGTCTTTTCCAGGGAGTCTTCTCTTCTCATGAGGTGGCCAAAGTATTAGAGCCTCAGCTTCAGGATCTGTCCTTCCAGTGAGCACTCAGGGCTGATTTACTTAAGAATGGAGAGGTTTGTTCTTCTTGCAGTCCATGGGACTCTCAAGAGTCTCCTCCAGCACCAGAATTCACTGTTCTGACTGTTTCGCTGGAATCTTCTTCAGTACAACCCATAGATTAGAAAAATGCACATGGAGCAGTCGTCACGAGGATATGCATCTATTACTTTGTTTTAGTTGTAGTAAATCATGTATATCATGGAATAAGAATTGCAGTGCTATCTAGTATACTGGTCTTCGTGTTGCTTGTATTGTTTGTTGTGGGAGTTGGTATCCATCAACCCCTGGGGCATCACAGGCTGCCTGGGTTAGGGAGAGCAGCACTCAGTCATTGCCCTTCACCCCTTTCTGTTTTGCAGAATCCTGTACCCCGAAGTTCCCCGCAAGCTGAAGCAGCTTCAGAGCGAGGGGTACAAGGTAATGCACCTTCTCCAAACCATGTTACTCGCTCCAGCTTCTCCTCTCCTCTCCTCACCTCTGTGTTCTTCTCTCCTTCATTTCTGCCCTCTCTTCCCCATCCCTCCCCAACCGGGCAGGTTGTGATCTTTACCAACCAGATGGGCATCAGTCGTGGGCGCCTCAGGCCCGAAGTTTTCAAAGCCAAGGTGGAAGCAGTGGTGGAGCGGCTTGGCATCCCGCTGCAGGTGAGTCGGGGCAGGGAGGACTGTGTATCTCCCAGAATGCTTTGCAAAAAGGAAGTTGCCCATTGTTCAGGGAAAGTTGAGTGGGTTTATATTTTGTGGTATAAATGCAACCTGCAGAATAGAAGAGGGTGGCTTTGTGTATGCGTGAGAGAGAGAAAGAGGAAGAATGGAAATGGTTTATTGAATATTTACAGATAAATTGCAAACAGATAGAAACATTAGCAGGATTATTGTAATAACCTGAAGTTTCATAAGTGTATATTTAAAGTAGATAATTAAATGAACAAATTAAATGAATTTGGATATGCAGAAGATATTAAAAAAATTAATTTAAGGAACCGTAGAAAGGGGAGGGGAGGAAGTCAAATTCTGAAATGTTAAATTGGTTGTAGAACTAATGAAACGTATAAACTCGAAAAGTATAAATAAAAACTTTTAAAAGAGAGAGAGAGAGAGGAAATGAAGTTGAAAGAGTTAAAAACAGGTGAAGGGCTTTGGGGGCTCCAAGGGCCTTGTGGGTACCTGCCCAGGGGCCACGTCCTAGCAGTGGACAGGGACGAAGTTAATCCACACGTATACATGCATCCACATGCTCTCCCCAACATTCACAGAGCAGCTATTGACTCGTAGAATTGTAGAGTTGGAAGAGACCACGAGGGTCATCTAGTCCAACTCCCTGCGATGCAGGAATCTTTTCCCATGGTGGGGCTCGAACCCACAACCCACAACAATTAAGAGTCTCATGCTCTACCAACTGAGGTATCTATTTAAATCCCCTCTCCCCCAGTGCTTTCTCTCTCTCTTTCTCTCTTGCCCTCTCCTCCCTAATCTCTCTCTTCTCTCCCCATCTCAGCACCCACAAATTTGCAATTAGGGGAGAAAAGATCTCATTCCCAAGCCTAAGTCCCTCAGTTGCTGTTCTCCTGTAGTTTCCAGGGATTTGCAGCCACGCGCAAAGATCAAGGCGATGCAGAAATCAAAACAGTGAACTGTTCCCATTTCCCATTCTCCAGCCAGTTTTGTATATCTCGCCTCGTCCCCCATTGGGCACAGGATGGGGCTCAACCAAACTTGCCGGGTGTCAGTAGAGACACCCCAGACTTTGGCCCAGAGATGTTTAATCAAGGAAGGGAAGAAGAGATTGAAAACCATATAAAAATAAAATGCCAGGATGTTTTTTATCTGGACAAGGCTGGGATAATCTCACCCTGCTGCCATCCTTCCCCTCCCAGGTCTTCGTGGCGACTGCTTCTGGCGTTTACCGCAAACCTGTCCTCGGCATGTGGGAACACCTGTGCAAGAAGGTGACTTGAGACTTCACGTATTGTGACTTTGCTGTTAGTTTTATTTTCCGTACTCTGGTCATTTTGCATTGTGATTGGTTGGGAGCAAATTTTCCGTCATCCGCTTATTTTGGTTCCACCGTGCCTCATATTTCAAATACATTGGTTGTCGAACGGCTTGGCTGTTGAACAAATCAGCTCCCAAATGCCACAAAGCCGGAAGTAAGTGTTCCAGTTTGCAAACGTTTTTGGGAAGCCGAACATCCAATGGGGCTTCTGCAGCTTCTGATTGAGTGCAGGAAGCTCCTGCAGCCAATCGGAAGCCGCACCTTGGTTTGCAAACGGTCTCCCAGAACGGATTAAGTTCAACAACCAAGGTACCACTGTAGGTTGCTGAAGGTTACTTTAATCGGTTTAAGTTTTAAATGTCACATTTTTTCCAGTGTGGCTGGATCAGATTGTTACGGGTGTGTGTGTAGGGGGTGGTCTTTGTTGTGGATTTTGTCATCTGCCTTGTGTATTGCGATGTAGAAAGGTAGCATACAAATTTGAAAGGAAAGGAAGAAGGTACAAGGGTGCAGAGGGGTGGGAAGGAGAGAGAGAGAGAGAGAGAGAGAGAGAGAGAGAGAGAGAGAGAGATCTGTATCACTACAAGTTTTGACTTCCCACCCCTCATTCCCAAACTCTCTTCCAAGGCAAACGGTGGCCTAGAAGTCTCTTTGCAGCAAAGCGTCTATGTTGGAGGTGAGTAAAACACTCAGGCTGAGCTGGGGTTCCTAAGAGCTGGTGGCACCCAGGGGGAAATAGAACGCAGAGGCTGCAGTGTTGCTCAGTTCCATTTCTCACTCTCTGCACAAGCCCGTCCTTTCTCTACCTCTTGTGCTCGTTTTATTTACTACATTATATACCGTCTTCATCTTGCAAGATCTCAAGGTGGTGTGACTGGTTCCCCTCCTCCTCCTCCCCATCACAACCCTGCGAGGTAAAAGGTAAAGGGACCCCTGACCATTAGGTCCAGCCATGGCTGACTCTGGGGTTGCGGCGCTCATCTCGTTTTATTGGCCGAGGGAGCCGGCGTACAGCTTCCGGGTCATGTGGCCAGCATGACTAAGCCGCTTCTGGCAAACCAGAGCAGCAGACGGAAACGCCTTTTACCTTCCCACCAGAGCGGTACCTATTTATCTACTTGCACTTTGACGTGCTTTCGAACTGCTAGGTTGGCAGGAGCAGGGACCGAGCAACGGGAGCTCACCCCGTCGTGGGGATTCGAACCACCGACCTTCTGATCGGCAAGCCCTAGGCTCCATGGTTTAATCCACAGCGCCACCCGCTTCCCACCCTGCGAGGTGGGTTAGGCTAAAAGATGGTGGATGCCCCAAAGTCACCCATGGCGGAGCAGGGATTCAACCCCGGTCTCCCAGGCCCTAGTCCAACGCTCTTAACCTTTTCGCCACACTGGTGATTTGTAGGCAGCTCAGAGAGCAAGAACCCGCAGAGGGCCGCATGAAATTAGGCCGAGGGCCACACTCCCCACCCCAGCGCTATGGGGATGCCATTCACTGTATAATGAGAGGGTGGGTGCAGCTTGCTTAGTACCTTCATTTGGTGGGAGCGAGGAACAATTTCAGGCTTGTGCATCTTCACTGCAGGCAAAGTTGTTTCTGTGCTTCCCCTGCTCCGAATTTACATGCCCCAGTTGTGAGCGTTAGCAATGATCTGTTGAGTTTTCCACCTTGTGCTGCTGGATGTGTTTTCATAGCTCCTTTCTGTCCATAGATGCAGCTGGGCGACCACCAAACTGGGCCCCGGGACACAAGAAGAAGGATTTCTCATGCAGTGACCGCTTGGTATACGATCAATTCTTCTCTATCCTGTCTTCTCCTCCAGTTTCCCTTAACCACGAAACAGAAAATTTGGCCACCCTGGATTAAAGCAGTGTTTCCCAAACTTTTTTGGGCAACGGCACACCTGTTTACTGAAAAAAAATCTCGCGGCACACCACCATTAAAGCCCCGCCCCGTGACGTCAGCGCGCAGCGTCACGCTGGGAGGGACGCACGAAAGTGAAAGTTTTTTCCCTCCCCCTTGCCGGGTAACCTCCAAGCTTTGGGGGTGGGAGGAGGCAGCAGAGCGAGGGACTGAGGGACGGCGGCAACTGAGGCGGCGGCGGCTGTGGTGGTGGTGGCGGCGATAGCGGGCGGAGGAGGGGGCGGCGGCGGGGCTTGAGGAGCCGTCGCCGGGAGTTGCTGCTGCTGTTGTTGCTGCTGCTGCCCGGACATGCCGGCCTCCTCCTCCTCCGCTGTCTCGCGCTCCTCCCTTTTGCACGCGCTGCCCTGCCGCTCGGCACCACCACCACGGAGCCGCCCCCGGCTCGACGCGGATCCTCGCCGCCGCCGCCTCTCACCGCCCGACTCGCCCGCTTCCTTCCCACGGCACACCAGCCAATGTCTCACGGCACAGTAGTGTGCCGCGGAACACCGGTTGGGAAACACTGGATTAAAGAACAGCTGCTCTGGTTTAGCACCCACTATTCCCCCTCTTCTCTTCCACCAGGGTTTTTAAATTTATTTTAAAAAGAATTTACATACCACCGTTGATCTGCCGCAATATCAGGGCAGCGTGCAGAAATTAAACATCATTGAAACAAGTGTGTAATCATTAAACAGTGCAGAACAGTCATTGCCATCAACCTGGTTGTCAGTGTTGCCTGAAGGGTCCCTACTGTTTTTACTTAGGCAAGATGTGATTGCTGTCATGGAAATGCTGTTCAGGACGGTATTTTGTGCCCAGGTAAATACTAGATACACAGAACTTGCCCTCTAGCATCCTTAGACTATCAGCATTCAGTCAAAAGCCAAGTTTCTAGCACTCATGGAATTCCTCCTTTATTTATTTTTTTAATTAAAAGCAAACTCTTTGTGTATTTAAAACATTTCTATCCCACCTCTCCTTCAAAAATTCAAGGTGGCAGGTTTTAATAGTCCTCCACTGATCCCACAGATAGTTTGGAAACCTGAAGGTGGAACCAGAATGCAGTTCTAGTTTGGATTTTGCCCCAATTCTATCCTCTGTGTTAGGCAAGTTGTATATCCACCCACCTAGTTACACAGCTAGTTTGCATGTTCTTTTACAGTTTTAAAATTGGCGAAGGTGGGAGGTAGTTGGAGGTCTTAGGTAGTGATGTTAAATTCTTGAGAATAATCTTTTGGAGAATAGTTTCAAGAATATTCTTGATTAATGAGAATATTAGAGAATTTTCATTTAAAACAGGAGAATATTCATTTTAATGCAATGAAAATGATATAATTAGTCAATATACATCTTTATTAATGGGTAAACTTGTTCAGATGGCAACCAAAAACTGTACAGATACTTTTATTTAATGGGGTAATGCAGTTAATTAACATTCTTTGATTTTTTTAACCAAACTTGAAATTGAAAATTCAGCGTGAATGACTCACGTTAATCACTAAGCCTGCCAGTAACCATATATTTACCATCAACTTTGAATTCTAATTATGTTGTGTATATATGAAATGTAGCTTTTAAAGTGAAAGGAATATAAAAAAAAGGTTCACTCAGGTCCACTACATGAATACGTTCTTTAACAAGCATATCTACATGGTACAGTATTTTTAGTGCAACACTAATAAAATCAATATAAAGTTTAAAATAAATGCTATTATTTCCAGAAAATAGCGGGTTCTTACATTAGAATTTACAGTTTGTGGAGAATATTCTCTGCAGAATTTTCTAGCAGAGAATATTCTCACCTCACATCACTAGTCTTAGGAATGTTTTGGCCATGGGTAGGCAAACTTAGGCTCGGGGGCTGGATCCGGCCCAATCGCCTTCTAAATCCGGCCTGCGGATGGTCCAGAAATCAGTGTGTTTTTACATGAGTAGAATGTGCCCTTTTATTTAAAATGCATCTCTGGGTTATTTGTGGGGCATAGGAATTTGCTCATCCCCCCCCCAATATAGTCTGGCCCGCCACAAGGTTTGAGGGACGGTGGACCGGCCCCCAGCTGGAAAAGTTTGCTGGCCCCTGGCTTTGGCTATTTGAGGAAGTGGTGCCTTGCAGTGAAGTGTTTGAGCTGGAAAAGGAAAAGGAAAAAAGTTGTGCCAATGTGCTTTCTACACAAAAATCTGGGCTGGTAGCCCACATCAAGCACCTAGCAGGCAGCTACTAGCCAGCCGGCATACATGCGCTACTGCTGCCTTCGATAACCAGTTGTGCACCAGATGTTTTAGAAACACAAAAGATGTGTTTGATTTGTGTATGGTAAGGAAATCACGGGCCTGAGAATCTCTGCTTTCTCTTTTTGAAACGAGTTTCTAGCCCTCATGGTGCATAGGGGGGCGGGGCAGACCTGAAAATGTGTAGGCAGCGAAATCTTAGAAGTCAGCGGGGGAATAAGAAGGGAAGCAAAGGCAGAGCTTCAATGCCCTTTATCCCTTCCTGGTGGCGCACCTATCTGGAGTATTTTATCATTCTCCTCGTTCTCTCAATCCTAGACAGAGGATTTCAAATCCCTAGGCGAATTTGGAAGCAAATGACACAAGATGAACAGGCCGAGAAGCAAATTGCACGTACTGGGTGTACTTTTGTTGTGGCCACGGAGTGTGTGCATTCTGGCTGCCAAGAGTACAAGTCGTTCTCATCAGCTCACACTTTTCCTTGGCTCCTTTCCCCACGTTAACAGCTCTCCCTTCTGTCCGTCCTCACAGTTCGCTCTGAATGCTGGGCTTCCCTTCCGCACCCCCGAAGTGTATTTCCTGGGCTGGAAAGAGCCGCCGTTTGCACTCCCCAACTTTGATCCGGTGAATGATTTCTCTTTATTTTAGAGCTGGGCTCGCTTTTGGTTTCCGTTCATATAGAACCGGGTTTTGCCTTTTTGCATGCCATTAATTTGACTCTGAGAGGGATGTGGGTGGCGCTGTGGGTTAAACCACAGAGCCTAGGACTTGTTGATCAGAAGGTCGGCAGTTCGAATCCCCGCGAATCCCGTTGCTCGGTCCCTGCTCCTGCCAACCTAGCAGTTCGAAAGCACGTCAGAGTGCAAGTAGATAAATAGGTACCACTCCGGTGGGAAGGTAAATAGCGTTTCCATGAGCTGCTCTGGTTTGCCAGAAGCGGCTTAGTCATGCTGGCCACATGACCCGGAAGTTGTACGCTGGCTCCCTCGGCCAGTAAAGCGAGATGAGCGCCACAACCCCAGAATCGGTCACGACTGGACCTAATGGTCAGGGGTCCCTTTACCTTTAATTTGAGTCTGAATTGATTTTAGAATGAATTGATTTTAGAATGTATTTCAATTAAATGATTATGATTTTATGTAAACTGTGTTATTTTTAAACTGTGTTATTATTATTATTATTTTGTGATCTGCAAAACAATCTTTGCAGGTTGGTATTTGGAGGAGGAGAAGGGGCTTTTGAGTCTGTCAGAGAATGGGCTTCCCTCGGACCACCTAATGAGCTCATGGCAGAGGGTGAGATTCAAATTGGGGGATTTTGGATTCTCGCCAGCAGTCTCTTAGCCCTGGGATGGGGAAACCTCTGGCCCTCTGCATATTATTGGACTCCAACTCCCATTCAGCCCCATCTAGTAGGGCCAGTCAATGGTCAGGGACAATAGCAATTTAGTTCATCAACATCTGGAGGGCTACAGGCTCCTGCTCTAGGGCATCTTTGCTCAAAAATATGACTGAACCCAGGTCCTCTTTATGGGGGACAAGTGGCGGGAGCAGGGGGAATGATTGCTGAACAAAAGATCACCTTTAATAAACCTCCAAAGAAAGTTACTGAAAAGGTTTGCCTGTTGCTGCTTGTGGTTCCCCACTTCCAAGTTTTGTGGGAAGGCAAAAAAAGTGTTGCATGCCAGCATGTTCTCTGCCTACTCAGAAGACTGTTTAAAAAAGGAAAGCCATGTGGGTGGCAGGACCAGAACTTGATCCTAAACTGTGGCTGAGCAATGGGCTTGCCTGTTAGTCAGTTAAGCAGCTTTTGAGTCAGCAACTGTGATTTATTTATTTTTTGCTGAGAAAACCTGCACGTAGTCACCTGGCTATTCTTGCAGAGTTTTACAGTCGCATTCTTTTAGCACCTTATTCCAATTTAGAGTGTGCGTTTCCCCCCTTTTCTCTGCCCCCACTGAAATTGAGCCCGGCGAGATCTACAAAAGCAGAGAGTTTAATAGGCACAGCTGACAGACGCGCCTAACACTATTACCTACAATGTCTGAGTCTCTGTGTCTGTTATATTCATACATTTGCCATTATTGTCTCCTCTTACACAGCGAACGCTGGACCCCAAGGCACGGCTGTACGATCCTCCAGACGCTTGCCTGACCTCTTCCTCCCCAGAGATGGTTGTAGCTGTTGGCTTCCCTGCTGGTGAGTGGCCATTCACACCTTCCTTATCCAAGCTTCATTTTCCAAAACTTTGTGCAAAAGGTCCCTCCAGTCTCAAAAAGTGCGCATGGGCAACAGATGCCCTTCCCTGGGGAGTTTCCATGCGCTTCAGTTCCCAACTTTTTCCTCCCTTGGTTGGTCAAAAGCAGGGGTCAGCAACCTTTTTCAGCCATGGGCCGGTCCACCGTCCCTCGGACCATGTGGTGGGCTGGACTATATTTTGAAAAAATATATAAATGAATTCCTATGCCCCACAAATAACCCAGAGATGCATTTTAAATAAAAGGACACATTCTACTCGTGTACAAACACGCTGATTCCTGGACCGTCTGCGGGCTGGATTTAGAAGGCGGTTGGGCTGCATCCGGCCCCCAGGCCTTATGTTGCCTACCCCTGGTCAAAAGTCTGGGGGAATTGGGCTCGGAATGATGGGGCTGTGCTTTCACTAGAGAGGCTTATGCTACAGAGCAGTAGAATTGTGAAATAAGGCACGTTTTCCAAGAGCCCAATTGGATGTCAGGCTTCAGGGAACCAGCTTCCTCCCCCATGGCCATAGATAAGCAGAACAAAGGAAAAGGAGTCTTCTTACTTGTTGGAAACTTTAATAATCACAGCGAGAGAACAAAGAACACATCTCCTAGTAATGGCGGCGCTCTCAATTAAAGAGCCCACCCCTTTCGGTCCCTATGAACCTATGCCACTTCTATGTCTCGTAATCTGAGCTTGTCCCCTCTGTGCTTTCTGTTCTGCCACTTTCTGAGCCCTTCTCAACTTTGGGGAGGGCAGTGGAGAAATGCGGTCTAGAGACTGTGGATCTGTTAACCTTCTCCCTTCCAGTGTTTCTTCTCCCAGCTGCTCACTATCCAGTATTTCCCAGCTTCTGCCTTCTGAACTATGCCCCTCTGCAAACCGTTGTTCCAAATCTATACTGTCCTGCTCCTGGGAAGATTCAGGATATGGGGCAGCAGCAGGGGGAGGGGGAGGCTCCTCCGTGCAGCCCTCCACAGCACAGTCCCTGACATTGGATCAGGCCCGTGGTCTACTTAGTCCAGCATCCTGCTCTCACAGTGGCCAACCCAGGTGCCTGCAGGAAACCCGCAAGCGGGACCTGAGCACAAGAGCAGCATTCTCCCCTCTGTAGTTTCTAGAAACTGGTATTCAGAAGCAAACTTCCCCTGACAACAGAAGCAGAACACTGGGTTAGTAGCCATTGGCGTCTGGCTGCTAACCAGAAGGTTGGTGGTTCGAGCCTAGCCAAGGACAACTTTCAGCAGGATTCCTGAATTGTAGGTGGTTGATGAACCTCAGGGTTACCTTCCAACTATACAATTCTAAAATTCTATAGCCTTTCACAAATTCATATTTTAAAGCCGTTCAAGTATGCACTTCTCTGAAAAGAGCAAGGTAGCTTAAGGCTGAAGCCGTTTCTCTTTTCTCTGGTGGGCACTTCCAGTAGTCGTTAAGGCAGGGAAATTGGCTAGTTCAGAAAGAAAAGGAGGGCCTTGTGATAGGGATGTTGGGAGGACAATGAAGGGAGCTGAGTATCAAAGCTGTGTCTGCAACAGGGACCTTTGAGATGGATGCAAATATTTCTAGCAAAGTGTTCGGTGCCACAGCTGACATTGGGTCAAAATGCCTGGGAAACGCTGCTCTACCGTTTTATCTTTTAACCAGAGTTCGAAACTCCCATTGCTCTCAGCGCATTTTGCGACAGGGAATTTCATTAGCGCGAGCAGTTTCTGAGCGTCTTAGTACTGCACCTAAGATTTCAGATTAAAACTGCAGAGTGGAAGGAAAGGAGGACCTTTTTCTGCCTCCCCACTTGCAGCCTCTTTCTGAAAACTGGAGAAGAGACCCTCTTAAGAATATGAGGGGGGTGGGCAGGAGAAGGAGAACTAGACCATGTGAAAAAACGAACATAATATTTTAGCTGCAGTTCATTCATTTTCAGCTATGTATTCTTGTTATTAAAAAAAAGTGCGCCTGGACATTCCGCTGTTGCAGCCCCACCTGGGCTTAAGGTGCCATTTAGCTCCTTGCTTTCATATCTCAGATTTTAACACTGCTTTTAACACCAACGTCTTCTTTTCTCGCTCCAGCTGGCAAGTCAACTTTTTTGAAGCAACACTTGGCCTCTGCTGGTTACGCCTATGCCAACCGGGTAAGTAGGAGACAGCAGCTGCCTGGGAGTAAGCCTTGAGGATGGCCCTGCCTGTCTTCTTCTTCTTCCTCTTCCTCCTCCTCTCTTCTCTTGTAACCCATCTTCTCCCACTCCCCTTTACAGGACACACTTGGCTCATGGCAGAAATGTGTGGCTACCTGCCAAGCAGCACTGCAGGCAGGGAAGAGCGTAATAGTGGACAACACCAATCCGGACCTGGAATCGAGATCCAGGTGAGGCTTCTCTGGTCACCAGATGTGATGATGTTGCTCTTCCAGCAGGCAGCAGGCTTCCAAAGTTCTCTGAAAAACCATTGTGCCTCCCCCCCCCCAGGTATATTGAGTGCGCCAAGGAAGCCGGCGTTCCCTGTCGCTGTTTCCTGTTCACTGCTTCGTTGGAACAAGCCAAGCACAACAACAGAGTGAGTAGCTTGTTAGGAAAGTTATGAAAAAGCTTCTGCCTCTTTTTCTCCAGAGGAGGGACCAGATCACCTGTTTGAACTCGTGTTCCCCACTCTTCTGCTTTCACCCCGGTTCTGGAGAAATAAATCAAGACTGCAAAAGGATTTCTCTTTCTCCATCTCTCTCGTATAGTCAGCCTTATCACTAGCCAAACTGTCAGGCTGCCCCTTCCCCAGGCTGGAGATGATGCCCACTTCTCTGAGAGCTGTACCACAAAGCGACCCATGGGAGACCTTGGTTTGTTAGGGCGCCACCTGTCTTTGGAAAGGTGCCCTGATGGACAGGGTCAATAGTTTAGTAAATGAGAGCCCTGGGATTTAGGAAAGATGGCTGGATTTGAGCCCCTGCATTTCCAAATTGTTAAGGGTTGAGGCATCTGCGACCCTCGACCTAATGTCATGTGACATGGAGGGAGCACCCATTACTGGCACATCACTGGCATGTGGCCCACCGCTAAAAAAGTTACTTCATTCCTGCTCTAACTGAGCAACCTAAGACTGTGACGTGTACCTCTTCTGTTTATGAATGGCCTCTCTCAGAAGTGATGTACAGCATTCTTAACCCACAGTATCTTATACAGTCGTACCTTGGTTCTCGAACGGAACCCGTTCTGGAAGTCCGTCCGACTTTTGAAAAGAAAAACACGGCTTCTGATTGGCTGCAGGAGCTTCCTGGCCTCAACTGGAAGCTGTGTTGGACGTTCAGCTTCTGAAAAACCTTCGCAAACTGGAACACTCACTTCTGGGTTTGCAGCACCCGGGAGCCAAAACATTCCGAGTCATAAGGCGTTTGAGAACCAAGGTACAACTGTAGCCGAAACTACTCTGAAAGTGAAGTCTGGATTTCTGTTTACTCTGATGTGTTGTGGGAGGGTTGGGACACATTTTAAATAGATTGCTACTTGACATGTGCCCCCAAGCTCCTGGAGTTTCCCTTTGTCTCTTTCCAGTTAGTGCTGCCTCCCCTGTGTTTTCTTTTGTTTTGTATTCTTCTGTCTTTCTGTTGTGTCTAATAATCAAAGCACATCCTTCATGAACTTACCCAGTCCTCTTTGATAGCTGTGTAGGCTGTTGGCCAGTGCAGATAAACTGTGTGCTGTGGGAAGCACTTCTGAAGTGGATCCTCCTCGTTTCTTCATGCTCTGACGCCAGCCAGCTTGCCCCAAAGGGGAACATCCCCACGTCCCGTTCAAATAAGCAGCCCCCAGAATGACTAGAGAGCAACCTCTTTTTCTTCTTCATTTCAGTTCCGGGAAATGACGGAAAAGGGGCATGTGCCCGTGAATGATATCGTCCTGAACAGTTATAAGTGAGTTTCTGAATTACTTATAGGAGGGAGGGAAGCTTGTAGTGGCATGGGGAGGGGAAAAGGGTGCAGCTCCTATGAAACTAATGAATCTTAAGCTTTGGTGGCCCTAATCCCAGTGGCCCCAGAAGCGACTTTAGGCCACGTTGCTTAACATTTCTAGTAGACCCAATCTGAGTCGAACAACTCAAATTGATTTTTTGTTGTATATTCTTCAGCAGTCCCAAAGTTTTGAGAGTCAGTAGCACAGATATTGTAAAGGTGTGGCGAGCTGTTGTGGAACAACCCCATTGAAGAAGATAGCAGTGGTGGTTACCCAGACCTCGTTGCTGGTTGCGAGGCCGGCCCCCCATAACAGTTCAAGCTTCAGGGCCCCCCAAATGTAGGTCCGGCCACTGATGGGGAAGGCTGTTTCTGTACTGCCACCCTGATTTCCTTGGCACCTCTCCAGCACCCTCTAAAGAATGCGGAAAGCAGTATTGTACACTTAGAACAAACTGGGTTTTTGTGTTTGCTATGCACAAATATTGCATGTTCCCGTCACCCAGCTCTCACTTGGTAAAAACAAGCGAACTACTAGCTCTCAAGGTGGTTTGTGTAGAAACAAAGGGGAAATGGCCTGTTTTGAACTTCAACCCTGAGATGAACTGTGGGGGATTAGACCACTTCTCCCCACGTCCATTTTCATTTTTAAGTTTCGCCATGAAACACCCAAGTAAAAATATATGCACTTAACACTAACTTACTTCCAGAAAATAGGCTGAGGACTGAATAGGCTGCATCTCTGAAACATCACTTTAAACTGGCTCTCTCTCTCTCTCTCTGCTAGGAATAAGTTTGTTGAACCATCGTTGGACGAGGGTTTCTCTGAAATCCTCAAGATTCACTTTGTGCCTCAGTTTGCAGATTCTCAACTAGAGTCACTTTACCGGCAATTTTCTGAGGGATGACAGTGTCCTGCTATTTGCACCCATCTGACAGAGCCTTTTTTCGAAATGTACCTCTCTGTTGCCAAAGAAAGGTATACTTATGAAGTGTGATGGCTCCCCCTGCTGGTCAAAGGGGAACCTCGCTTTGGGCTGTAGAACGTCCTCAGGCTGTTTGAAAATGGGAGTGGAGACTATATAATAGGATTCCCTTTTCCCCTGTGAAAAGGCATTTTAGAAACCATGAGAAATAAAAGTTTTGGAACCCAAACAGTTGTCCTCTTATTTTTCAGGTGAGAGCTATAGATCTCTTTGTCACCCAAATAAAGCCAGAACGGGGAATTTACATTAAGACTTGTTTTTGGACACAATTTTGCTCTTGGGCTAGCGTGTGCTTAGAACTATAGGGAACAGTTGGAGAAGGATAAAAGACTGGTGACAAATTAGCTCTTGCTTTAGAAAAGCTCTAGTCTGGTTATACTTATTCCCTGACCCTCAGCAGAGCCAACGTTCCACACCAGATTAAGAAAGGGTGACAAAATTAAATGTGAAGTTCAGAACTGAAATGTACTTGAAAGCATCACATTTTTTGTGTGTGAGCCACAGAGTACGCAGCTCCAAATAGGCCCTTTCCATTTACTGCACAAGGCAAAGAAGGCTAAAACGTTTGCTGAAACACCAGACCGCCCCTCATTCTGCTGCTGCTTGCCCTACCACTGTAATCACAGCAGGAATTCTCCAAAAGGTTTATTTTACAAAATAATAATACAAGAACATCCATTCACACACACAACCTGAGGCAGGTATTACGAGGACGCCCATCAAGACGTGTCCATGGTCTCTCCCTCTGGAAAACAAAAAGCAGGTGCAAGAGTTCAAGATGGAAGAACACACTCCCCGCTTCCCCAAAAAAGAGGATCTCAAAGAGGTCTTCCTCCGTAAAACAAAGAACACCATCCTTGCCACTCGTGAATTTTAAGAGTCCCCAGTTGTAACCTTTCAAGCTGACAGAAACCCTGCACAGAGGACGTGAAACAATCTCTCTGCAAGCCTGTGCTGTAGGCTGAACTGCCTTCCTGGCAGAGGCGGCTAATAGCATTGATCACAAGATGGTCAATACGTGAGAGGGATGGTTAACTCCTCCCCAGGAGCTGGCTGAATGCTGCTAGCTTGGCATTCCACTCTGGCCTAGAAAGCTGTAGGGCACAAATGAGGGACCTCTGGGCAAGGAGAGGGAGCAGAAAACCCTCAAGGGCAAGTACAACTGCAAAGCTGCCAGAGCAGGCGGGAAGTCTACTGAAATGCAGGGGGGAGGGAATGCACCACCACAATATTTGAAGTTCCTGCTATCTCTCTGCCACCCCCAGCTCAAATTGGGTTACTCGCTAGGCTACCGGGGGAGCAACTGTTGCACTGTGACCTCCGTGCTTTCAAACTAAAAGCAAACGCTGCTTTACTCACACTTTCATTATTTTCCTACTTGCATGCGTCTCTTGCAGGTACTGAGGACAGAGGATTGGGAGGAATAGGAGGGGATTAAAAGCAGGAAGGCCTACCCTATGTAGTGCACAACAATCGAACAGTCGAGGATTATCCCCTACCCGCCCCACAGGTACTTCGTAATTCTGATCCTATGAAAGTCGCCCAGTGTCATTACCACTCATCCCCAGAAGAACCAACTTTCTGGGTCCCAAGCCACTAGCATACGTTGGTCAATGAACACTGCACCAATAACCGCGGAACGAAAAGCAAAAACCAGGCTTATTCTTGCCCCTTTTCAATTATGAGAAGCATCATGATCATTACTGTTGTGCAACTTGACTTTTCAGTGGATTTGCAGATACAGTACTGAACCCGTCCTGTGAATGAGTTTGTACGCTGCGACTGGGGCTCAACGTCCTTTGAAGATTTCTCAGCATGGATTGAAGGCAGAATCATATGCTCAGTGCTACCCATTGCCAAGAACAGCATTCCCACGTCAAGTATCCTTCCTCACCTGCTTTTTCAAGTCAGACTTGCCTGGGAAGTTTTCTCCACTCTGCACTGCGTTATTGGCTGAGAGGCAGTAACACTAAAAAGTCTGCCCAAACATTTTGGGAAGGGGGTGGAGGACGAAGAGAACTCAACCCATGCCTGTCTTTTTTAACAGAAGCGCTGCACTAGGCATTTTGAAGTTAAAAGGTAAAGGTACCCCTGACCATTAGATCCAGTTGCGGACGACTCTGGGGTTGCAGCGCTCATCTCACTCTATTGGCCGAGGGAGCCGGCGTACACCTTCCGGGTCATGTGGCCAGCATGACTAAGCCGCTTCTGGCGAACCAGAGCAGCGCACGGAAATGCTGTTTACCTTCTGCCGGAGTGGTACCTATTTATCTACTTGCACTTGACGTGGCTTTCGAACTGCTAGGTTGCAGGAGCAGGGACCGAACAACAGGAGCTCACCCATCACGGGGATTTGAAACCGCCGACCTTCTGATCAACAAGCCCTAGGCTCTGTGTTTAGATCACAGTGCTGTGTCTTTAACACTGTGTCTTAACAAACTGGAATGCACATTTGAGGATTGCCTCAAAACCAGGATCCTAAAGCAGGGGGTGGGAACGCTTTTCTGCCTGAGCACACCTTATGGGGGCCACATTGCCACTTGGTGGTCAAAGCCAGAGGGGAAATTGGTTCAGGCAAGAGGCAGTATCATGTCTGCAGAATGTATTCAAGTGAAGCAAAAAACCACTGGATGAAGGTGATCACAAGCAGGGCTTGTGAAGGGCCTGGGCCTGGGAGACTCCTGAGGGTCAGTGTCATAGAGTGGCTGGGTGCAGAGGAGTGGTGGAAGGCACCAGTTGGGGAACCCCTAAGGGAAGAAGGCTCAGAGCCCAGGGACTGGTGGTGAGACAACGATAAGTGGTTAGAGAAGACTGGAAATAGGAGGCTTAGTGAGTAGGGAGAGTCTGTGGCAGAGAGCAGTCCAGAAGCAGCAAGTGGAGGCAGGAGAGGATGGGGAGCCAAGAAGCAGATATATGGCAGGCTGGTGAAGAAGCCAAGGTGTCTCCCCCTCCTGCTGCGACAAGCTCCCCTCCACCTGGTCTCCTAGAACCCGAAGAAGGATGAAGAGGATGGAGCAGAGATAGAGAAGGCGGAAAAGTCTCAGGTTGCTTGGGAAGGACCCGGGGGGGGGAGGAAGAGACTTAGGGAGCTGTGGGAAGGCAGGGACCTTTGAATCTCTACAGCTGCCTCGTTGGGGAAAGGCCTACTGGGAAGAGTTGCTGCTAACTTCACTGACACCTTGTGAGTTCTTGCTGACCTGCTCCCGGCTCCCGTCAGATAGAGAGGGCTTCTTTATCTGGCCCTGGGCTTGAAGTTCCCCAAATGGATCTAAAGGAATTCAACTGCTCTGTTCTTGTCCTTTACTGGCCTTGACCAAAGCAGAACTCTCCGTTTCTTCCAAGTGCCTCCTGCGTTTTTCTGCTGCGAAAGTCCTACATACACTTCAAAAGCTCTAGCGAGGATGACCAGGTCCTAGCTCCCGGCTGGAGGAGGTTTTCAACCCACACATCCCTTCGCCTCAAATTGTTACTCACTGAGTTCATTGAACATGAAGGCATCCTGGTACTCTTTCATGTACTGAGTGGAGCGTGACTCGTCCAGGAACAGCGAGTACACGCGCTTGATGTCGTCCACCTGAACCTCTGTGCCCTGTGAATGGGGAGGGAGAGAGGTCAGGGCTCCCAGCAGGAGAAGAGCACAGCACAAACTCCAGCAAAGTTTCACCACTCCAGACAACTCCCTCCAACTAGTCCTGGAAATGAGAACTGAGGACGACTATGGGCTTCCAAACGCTTCTAGTTTTATGCCTCCCCCTCAACTCTTCTCCAAGAGCTTAGGGGTTTTGATAAAGAGATGCCACTGACTCTCTAAGCCAGGCATAGGCAAACTCCGGCCCTCCAGATGTTTGGGACTACAATTCCCATCATCCCTAGCTAACAGGACCAGTGGACAGGGATAATGGGACTTGTGGTCCCAAACATCTGGAGGGCCAGAGTTTGCCTATGCCTGCTCTAAGCTCCCAACACACCTCCCATCATGGGAGTTGGGCAGTCCAAGACATCAGGAGGGAGCCACATTGGCAAATGCTGCCCTAATGGCACCGAAACTTTCTTGCTTCCATCTCCAATCCAGAAGCAGATGCAGTTGGTAATCTGTGCCCCTCTGCTTCTGATCGCTTTTTAAGACAGTGGGGATTTTAAATGGTTGTAAGCATAGCACACAGGCACTAGAAGGATGGGATAGACCTTTTTAGAACAATGGGATAGACGCCTGAAGGAGAGTCTCCACCCCATCATTCAGCCCGGACACCGAGGTCCAGCTCCGAGGGCCTTCCGGCGGTTCCCTCACTGTGAGAAGTGAAGCTACAGGGAACCAGGCAGAGGGCCTTCTCGGTGGTGGTGCCCTCCCATCAGATGTCAAGGAAATAAACAACTAGCTGACTTTTAGAAGAAGACATCTGATTGCAGCCCTGTTTAGGGAAGTTTTTAATGTATGATGTTTTAATATGTTTTTAATATTCTGTTGGGAGCCGCCCAGAGTGGCTGGGGAGGCCCGGCCAGATGGGTGGAGTATAAGTAATAAATAATAATTATTATTATTTATGGAAAATGAAGCTCATGATATGCACACACACACACGGGCACAAGTAGGGTATTTTTGCAAGCTGCGGGTCAGGCTGAGAAGAGAGGGAGAAAAAGTAAGGATTTATTGGCCTTTTGAAGAATGGCAGCACTGGAATGGTGCTGCCCCGTTGGAAGTCCCCGGACTCTACATAGTGCCAGAGCTCACCTTCCGCTTGCGACACACCAAGCTGGCAGCTGTGATGAGCTGGATGGCATAGCGCAGGGAGGTCTCCAAGCCGATCCGCGTCAGTACAGTGTAGGCGTCTTCGTTCATCTCGACATCCTCCTCCTCACACCTGCAAGAGATATTCCAGCTCAGAATAAGGAAAGCTTCCACAGCGCAGGGCGAGACGCCGGAACAGCAACAGCAAAACTGTGATGTGGTAAGACGGGCAGGGCGGAAGCATCCCTCCGAGGCAGGAACTGCTGCGCCCTCAAGCGCCCTCTCGCTCACCGGATTTTAAGGATCTGCTTGGTCTCCTTGTCGCTGTAAGGGGAGGTCGAGATGATGAGCATGCGGTCCAGGAGGTCAATGGGGATGCCGTGGGGGCTCTGGTAGTTGGTGCCACGAATCCTGCATCAGAGAGGACAGACCCAGAATGAGAG